CAGCGGCCTGCTGCTCTACGGCGAGATGCACGAGAAGCTCTTCCAGCACCAGCGCGAGGGCGTCGCCTTCCTGTACCGCCTGCACCGGGAGGGCAGGCCCGGCGGCATCCTGGCCGACGACATGGGCTTGGGCAAGACCGTGCAGATCATCGCCTTCCTCTCGGGGATGTTTGACGCTGAGCTGGTGCAGCACGTGCTGCTCGTCATGCCCACCACGCTGGTCAGCAGCTGGCTGGCAGAGTTTGCCCGCTGGACCCCTGGCCTGCGAGTCCGGGAGTTCCACGGCACCAGCAAGACGGAGCGCACCAGGAACCTGGAGAAGGTGCAGAGGAGGAACGGCATCATCATCACGAGCTACCAGATGCTCATCAACAACTGGCAGCAGCTCGCCAGCAGCAGCGGCGAAGAGTTTGTCTGGGACTACATCATCCTCGATGAAGCTCATAAAATCAAGTGCCCGTCGAACAAGACGACCAAGTGCGTGTACGCTATCCCTGCGCGACACCGCCTCCTCCTCACAGGCACCCCTGTGCAGAACAACCTGCGGGAAATGTGGTCCTTGTTCGACTTTGCCTGCCAAGGCTCCCTCCTAGGAACAGCCAAGACATTCAAAATGGAATATGAGAATCCTATTACGAGGGCGAGGGAGAAGGATGCCACTCTAGGAGAGAAAGCTCTGGGACTTAAGATCTCCGAGAACCTGATGACCATCATAAAGCCGTATTTCCTCCGAAGAACTAAGGAAGATATAAAAAATACTTGTAACACTGACAGAGTGGATGCTCCTGTCCCTGAGGATCCAAGTGCAAATAGTGCTCCTGTTATGCCATCTCTTACTAGGAAAAATGACTTTGTTGTGTGGGTGTACCTGGCGCCAATACAAGAAGAGATCTATAGGAACTTCCTCTCTCTGGATCATTTGAAAGAAGTGTTGATGACAACCCGGTCACCATTAGCAGAGCTGACAGTCTTAAAGAAGCTGTGTGACCACCCCAGGCTTCTGTCTGCAAGAGCATGTATCCAGCTGGGTTTAGAAGGACATGAAAACTATGAGCAGGATGACAGGAGTGAAACAGGTTTACTTCCAGGAGCTAACAAAATCGATCAGCTCCCCGAAGAGACTGTGATCCAGGAGTCTGGGAAAATGCAGTTCCTTGTAGGACTTCTAGAAAGGCTGAGAGATGAGGGACACCAGACGCTGGTGTTCTCGCAGTCAAGGAAGATGCTAGATATCATAGAGCACGTTTTGTCCCGCAGGCAATTTAAGATCATGCGTATTGATGGAACAGTAACCCACTTAGTGGAGCGGGAGAAGCGCATTAATGCGTTTCAGAATGACAAGGACTACTCTGTCTTCCTGCTCACTACGCAAGTTGGTGGCGTTGGTATAACCTTAACAGCAGCCAGCAGGGTGGTGATCTTTGATCCCAGCTGGAATCCAGCTACAGATGCACAGGCTGTGGACAGAGCTTATAGGATTGGGCAAAAAGAAAATGTAGTAATTTATAGACTGATTACCTGTGGTACTGTGGAGGAGAAAATATATAGGCGCCAAGTATTCAAGGATTCCTTAATAAGACAGAGCACTGGTGACAAAAAGAACCCATTCAGATATTTTTCCAAACAGGAACTAAGGGAGCTTTTCATACTAGAAGATACTCGAACATCTGCAACTCAGATCCAGCTGCAGTCACTACATGCCACCCAACGGAAAACTGATGTGCAACTGGATGAACATATCGCTTATTTGCACTCTCTGGAAATGTTCGGTATTTCTGATCATGACTTAATATATACAAGGGAAATAACTCAGGAGGAGCAGGCTGAGAGCGAAGAAGCCCATCAGTACATTCAGCGGAGGGTTCAGAAAGCCCACGAGCTCGTTCAGTTAGAGTCTCAGCTTAGAGACCAGAGGAATGGGCCATGGCCAAGAGCGCCAGAACCGTCTTCCCAGCCAAAGAAGAAGTCTCCAGGATTGAACAACATGAATAACTTTGTCTCACCACCAGTAGTTGCTAGAGTTGAAAATGAAGCTATAGATCTTACAGAAGATGAGGAAGTCCAAATAGCTAATGTCAGCTCTAAAATGACAAGTCTGGTTATTGATGAAATAGATGAAGAGAAACTGGCACAAGATGTGTCCAGTGTGGATACTAGCAGCAAGATAGTGAAACAATCCAATATAGAAGAACATGAGCAAAACCTTGGATTGAGCATTAGACTGTCATCCTCTGGACTTCACCCACTTGACAGGGAGAGTCTGAGTCTTGAACAGAAACAGCCTTCTCCTGCTTCTCTTGTATATTCAGATAGCTTGACTGAAGAAGGGAATGGTCTATCTGGACAGTCTCGGGGCTCCTGTGATGAATCTGATATGGCTGATGGTCCTGAGACTGTAGAACCGTTGGACCAGGTAACTGAACCACTTGCTAGCTTGGAGAGGGACGGGAATGCTGATGGGGCTGCAGCACCACTGAGATTATCAAATGTTGCCCCGGAAGTCCGTACTAGGATCCAGAACTCTCATGCCAGCTTGGAGGCTATGTCTGCATCCTCTCTCCAGGATCAAGTTGACTTCAATCTCGTCTTGGAAGAGTCTGCAGATGGATGGCAAGATGTCTCAAGTGGGGACCGATCACTGGAGAATCCAGAACACGCAGAGTTTCAAGGAAAAGCAGAAAGAGCTTGTCAATCTCCAGAGACAAGTTGGGCACGTGAGAACAATAATTTTGGAAACTCCTATCACACACCTGAAAAGTATCTAAATAACTCCCTGCAAGGGGATGAAGACTCAGGGGAAAGCAGTGGTGTCCTCACTTTTAGTAGAAAGAAGTGCGTACAGAGAATTGCTTCTGACAGTGAGGATGAAAACCAGTCACTTGTGATCTTGAAGGAAAGTAAGTCTGATGAGAGGCCCTATCACTTGAGCAGCCCTCCACATCAATTTTTGGAAGGAATCAATGCGTCCACTCCTAAATATGACAGAAGTATAGCAAAAGCTATCTCTTCTCCCCAGATAATTAGTTGTGGGAACAGGTCTACAGCTTCCAGAAGATCTATAATCAACATAGTGGTGGACCAGGTTGAAGATATTGGAGAAATTATGGGAGCCACTGATGAGGAAGGAACCACTGATGAAGAAGATGATGCTGAAGATCAAGAGGATGTTATAGAAGAAGAAGCTGAAGAGTGTAGTGGGGAGTCTGCTGAGACCGAAGAAGAACCAGCTGGAGAAACACTTGATACAGTTGGGGAATCCTTTCATCTAGGTTGCACTCAGTCTGAACAGTCTGAAGCGAGCGAGACGGAGTCATCTCAGGATGAATCCACCGGTGATGCTGAACTTCAGTCTGGTGAGCAGATAGATTTCTTCTCCCAGGAAAGAGTCTCCCAGAAAGACACTGGTCGGAGTTCCTCTTCTGCCTTAGATAATTACAACACCTTAATAGATTGTGGGAAGAAACTGAAGGATGAAGGAAAACTACAGGAGGCGCTGAACTGTTTTCTGCAAGCCCTAGACATAAAACAGGGAGATCCTGAAGTTATGCTTGTGACCTTAAACTTGTATAGACAGCTAGCCCAGAAATGAAATGTGTGCCTTTATATGTTTTTATGTATGTCTAAACTGTATCACTGGTTTAAACTATCTTGAGGATGACAACTGCCTTAGAAATTTCTTCTTTCATGTTATGGAACTTGCAGTTGTGATGAGTGTACAACTTCAGCATTTCTTCCTCTGTGAGGAAGCAGTGTGAGAATTGGGTATCTGTCCTTACTCTTTAAGTGCTGGGGACGGGACTTCATGGTGGATTCGGTTCACTAAGATAAAAACATTTCATATTCCTGGTTGTTTAATAAAACACTTCTTCTATGCCTCAATGATTCTCCAAGCTTGCAGCTTTGGCTTTGTGTTCAATGAGTCTTCAGCTATGGTTCTACAGCAGCATAATGCAGTCTGAATTTAAGCAGCTGTAACTCTTTCCAGAGCTACTGCTCTTTGCAGGGCTACTATAGCCTTGATTTTGGTTGGTCTGAGAATGCACTTTCATAGCAGCCTATTTTGGCATGTAACACTTACTTGCTGTAAGAAGTTTGCTGCTACGAGTCCTCTAGGCGATGGAGGCACATCGTCTGCCGCACGTCAGGTCTGACCCTAAACGTGGTGTTGCAGAAACCCTTCTGCTCGAATCCCTACAAGACTGTAGCTGTAGAGTGGTTACAGAATGACTGGAATAGCAATTGAACCTTGACAGATGCAAGGTAAGAACATGTTGAACCTTTTTGTATTGCTGCCGGAGCACAGGACTTCAAAGGAGCTTAGAATTTGGTCTTGTACCCATCCAAACCCAACCACCTGGAGTAAAATTGAAGCCTGTCCTTATAAAGGAGGTGGCAGGAGGGGAAGGGTTGGGGGGAAAGGTGGTTTCCACAGTTTGGGGTTGTTTTTCTCTGGCAAGGAAGTTCTCCGGTGTTCCTCCTATGTGCAATCCAGCCGCAGTAGAGAAATATTGTCCCAGACTCAATGGAACTATGAAGTGGGTTGCTATTTTGGGACTTCAAATTTAAAATGAGAAGAGCCTTGTTCTGGCTCTTAGTAGTGCTCTTAGTATCTGTTATGATACTTGTTTATCTTGCTTCTCTGACATGTATACTCTTTTTTCCCCATGAGGTCAACTTGGCCAGGGGGAAACTCACAGTTGTAACCAATTCCAGCATATTTTTCCTTGTGATAGCACAAGAATTTTAATACTTTCTCATGATATATATATATATATATTCAATATCACAATTGCCTTCTCTATTAGTGTAGAAGGAGATTTTTCACTCCATACTGAGTGTGTGTTTGTGTGTGGGTTGTTTTGTTTTTTTTGCTCTGCTTCCAGTTTCTGGATGAGAAACTGGTCTGAATTTAAATCTTTTCTGCTCAAAGACCTTTCAAATACAAACAATGATCCTGTTGGACCAGAAGAAAATGGGCTGATACTTTTGCTAACAGGTAGAACCTTTGTAGCCTGTAAACAAGTCATTTATTAATAGAACATCCCATAAATGAGGCCCATCTGCTCTTCTGCTACTGACAGGTGTGTCTAACCATCTTAATAAAATACTAACAAACATAGAGCCTTACAAACAGTGGTTGGCCTCTGCAAACATGCAGTTCTTCAAACAAAACCACCACCCAACTTATTGGCGTAGGAGAAAAGACCTGCCTTGGTTTCAGTGTCACTTTATTATTATTATTTTTAATCTTGGAAGAGACTTTCTTTTATATATACTTAAGGGCTCAGAGGTAGGGACAAAACACAGTGCATGACTTCAGGCTGCACACCTGCAAACAAAGCCGAAGTCTGTGAGTAGATAGTAGTTTGTGACGTTGCTTTGAGAGCTATCTCATCAGGAAGAGAATTGATGCCCTGAAATATCTATTGCCAAGAGTAGTAGGATTTTTTTTTTTAAATCAGGTGGACAACTCATCGTCTCTGCAACAGGAACAGCAAGAGCTAGGCAGCAAGACTAAAAGCTTCAAATGCTGAAAACTATTGCCAGACCTTTTCAAGGAGTGCTCTGCCTCTGTGTATGACCTTGTTCTCTGCTGCCTCTAACCTGTGCCTCCTGCCAGAAGGGCAGGATTAGCCGTTTCAAAACGTGCTGCTGGTTACGACCGTTCTGCTGCAAGGTCGAGGTGTCTGGGAAGCTCACAGAATTCAAGCAGTCACACTTTAATGATCATTCAGGCTTTATTTCTTGCCTTCCACCATGATAATGTGGTACCCAAACTTTGTTTTGACAGGAGGGTCTGTGTATACAGGCTTGTCCATGCTGCTTATGGGCAAAGCAAATGCTGCATCCTGGAAAGGTCCCACCATGGAACCTCTGGTCATCCAGCCCAAGTCTCCCTGGAAGGAAGAATCAGTAAAGTTAAGCTCGGAGAATGTAGTTGCAAAACGTGTCTCCTTAGCCCTTCCTGCTAAGGAGACACCTTATGAGACATGGGGACCATTCATTCCAGTGAGTGTTTGGAAGTCTCAGTGTCTGCAGTGTGCAGCCCTTCATACAGGGGAGGATGACACGGGTGAATGCTGTGGTTCCTCTCCAAAAGTGATGGCTGGTGAGAACCAAAGCAGGGCAGCCCCCTGCTCTTAACAGGGCTGCTTTAGGGCTTGTATGCTTCAGCTGGGCCTTTCTGCTCTCTTGGCTTTGTGCATGTAAAGGAAACAACATTCATCTTGCTTCTCCTATTCTTTCTTCTATCAAATGCCTCTCCACAGGCACAATATTCCTCCGTCACCCCTCTCTCATCCCACAGCTCTATTCAATGCCTATCCCCAAATCCTAGTGCTGGGGGCTAGTCTGAATTAGGGGACCATGTGCCTGGAAGATGCTGAGAGCTGGGCGGCCTCAGCCCCAAGAGCTGTTTCCCTCAATAACTGGCTGAACAGGCATTGCTGATGAGTAGAGGGAGAGGCATAACTATCCTTAGGGCAACACTTGCTGACTGCTTATCTGAACAGGAGTCCCTAACCCCAGCTCTGCTGGCATGTGCAATCCCAACGCTTGTGCCTTTGCACAGCAGTCAAGGCTGCCCCTGGCACGGCTGCGGAGGCACCAGGGACATGA